GCTGGTTCAGCAGCACAGGATGTGTGCGTTTTATTTGGTTTTGTTACTTATATCACAGTTGTCATTCTAATCAAGCACTGGATAGCAATGAAGCAAGCAAGATGACTCACATTTATTACATTTTATCTCTCAGCCTCTTCCCAGGGGAGAAAATGTGTGAAGTGTGATGTTTGTTTTGTGCATATATATACTACAACGTGTTTATGTTAAAGAAGACAAGGTTTTCAAAATGTGTCATGCACTTGACGCAGACAGTGGTGAGGTTTGGGGTGTCCCTTATTTCTTGGAGAAGCTTAGTTACAATTTTAGTTTAGTCTCCTGCACAAAGTTTCATTGTATTCGGGGAATTAAGTTGTAAACTACAATTTTCATCCCAGAGGCACACCATGAAAGTTTTAGATAACCAGGTCCCAATCTTACACACACTTTCATACCTACTTAATGTTAAATGTACAAATATACTCTTGCTGAAGGTAGTGGGAATGCTTAAATAGATGCTTAATATTTGCTTAGTGCTTAAATAGATGCTTAAGGCCTGCATTTGCAGATATCAGGCCTTAAACTTTAGGGGAGAACTTCCCTCCCCCACCCATACACTCTTAAGGCAAGTAGAAAAATTCTGATCTGGAAGTTGGTCAGTAATACTAAATCACACTTTTTGTGCACAAATACTTTGCTTTTTATAAATCATACCAAATAGATACAAAGTCAAGTTAATAACAAAAAAATATGTATTATTCTCAGTTACTCTGGACCAGAACTAGGGCTGCATGAGATGAATCGATGATATGGATCCATAGGAATCATGCAGCTTATAGTCAGAGAAATAAAGAAGTTTTTGGGGAAAGAAAGGTTCCCCAGTGATACTTGGAAGATGTTTCCTACAGCCTGAGCAGGCTGGATGGTTTCACTGAGGATTTCACTTCTGGAATAGCTGTTAGACGCTGGAACACAAGGCTATCTCTTTACATGCCATCCAAGCAAAATCATGTGCCTCTGTTACCTACATAGCAATTATTTTTCCCTGCTCACAAGTTTCATGAGCACTGGATTACTCCAGAGATTTTGGCATCTCTGCCACATGCATACTAGCTCCCTCCCAGAACCACCCCTAAGAAACAAGCCCTGCCCACTTGCTGCAATTTGGAATACACTCGAGTGCAGTATTCAGAACGTGGCCTGAACGACATGCCTGAGATTTGGAGTGGTCTTGAGGACATACCAGCACTACTCTCAGTTTTCTCAAGATAGAGTCTGACAGTAGTGTTGGGATGTGTATTCAGGACCCCTCTACGTCATCTTCAAAGCATATTCGCCAGGCTGAAATATACATGGAGTGGGAGTGAGTGGTCAGGGATAAGCAAGAAGTTACTAGAGACACTGCCTGTAATGCTGTAGATCAGGGGTGCTTAAACTTTTTTAGTCTAAGTATCCCTGGCAGCCAGACACCGAGCAAAGGGAGGGAGGGTGGCGTGCGGCCGGATGCCGAGCAGGGGAAGGAAAAGGGGGTGGCGCACAGCCAGACTGAGGGGGAGGTGGGGATGGCATGTGAGTGGGCAGGGACGGAGCGCTGCTGCCTCCCAGGAGCAGGGCCGGGTAGCTCGCTCGGCTCAGGTGAGAACAGCAGCGTCCCTCTGCAGGGCAGGGAAGCTCACCGGGCTGGTTTGTAGCAGCAGCAGTTGCTGCGTGCAAGCTTCCCTGCTCCGCAAAGGGGCACCACTGCCCTAGCCCTGCTCTGTCCCCTCCCACCCACAAATGCCCCCTATGACCAGTCCAAGTACCCCCAGGGGTACGCACAACCCCAGTTGACAACCCCTGCTGTAGAGGACTGGGCTCCAGAAAAGCACAGCACAGCACAGCAGGAGAGAAAACCAGAAGTGATATGCCTCTTCAGGGGCTGCTTCAGTTAATTACCTGAAGTGGGCTAGAGTACAAACTGTCCTGGAGAGAGCTTTTATTCACATTTTTTACAGGATTTACAGATAAACAGCAAGAGTTCATAGTCATGCCAACCCTACCTTAGCACTCTGAGCTTTACAATATCTGTGATTTTCTGAACTGAGCAAAGAACATCAACTGTTGGGAATCTGACACGACCTCTGGAAGCTAAAAGGTGGGAGTGGTTTATAGATCTGTAGTAATAATATTTAGTCAGAGGAACTCTTTAAAAGAAGCATGCAGACAACAAATCTTTTGTTTCCTGAAGGTGATATTTCTATGTCATTTTATATAAAACAGAAATAGTTTTTCTTTGCTTTATAATTATAAACATTTGTTGGCAGAAAGATTAAAAATGTGTAGGAAACTGCCAAGTGGAAAAATCAAGGAATGCAAAAGACTCCAACAAAACAGGATAAATATTAACTGTAGTCTTCAGGAAAGGCAATGTGAATCTTTCATCTGTCCATTAAATGGAACAAGCTGCTTCTTCAAAGGCTTAGCCAGCAACTATGGAATCATTATGCAAGGTAACTCTTTTAATGCAAAACACATCTAAAAAATCCTAAATCAATATAGTTTCACCAGGATTTGACAAACAACTCTAGGTAAACGTTCAATGATAATATAAAAGGGATTATGTTTTATTCTTACTGGACTGAATAAGGAAACAACTTATAAATCAAGGTAATAATATAAGGATCTCTAAAATCAGCCAGGGCTTGTTTCAAGAAAGATACTGGTAAATCGAAGTGTTAGCCACATTAAAGACAGAGACTGTGTCCAAATGAACACTTCTTTCAAAATTAAATAATTACCATTATTTGTTTTAGAGTATACATTTTACACAACAAAAAGTCATTTTTTGTTTCATTTGCTTCTCTTTCAGCCAATACAAATTATTTTTCTTATCAGGTGATGCTCTCATTACTCTTGCATCTCCTCAATTTGTCACAGTAAAAATGTTCTGTGTTTTTCATTGAGAAAAGACAGGTCCAAACACTGCAGATTTATAACTCCTGTCAGGAAGAGCAGTAGGACCAAACCCTAATACTGCGATTGATAGTATAAATGACATTACTGGTGGAGGGGCTTATATAGTGTCTGTACGAGAAACATGCTCCATCTAAAATGACACCAGAATATGGCCTGCCTATTGGGAGACTGATTATTTCAGTAGCTCTTATTTTAATGATCACAACCTTTTTTAGAATAAAAACAAAGTTGATGTCAAATGAGGTGGATTCCAGGAAAAAATTTACATAGCTTTGTCCTTTTTCCTTTCACTCCAATCAACTAAGATACACATTTAACATTCTCATTCTTCCAAAAAGTATTTGTGCAAAAATTCAGATTCAATATTGTAATTATATATCCATTAACTATGTACTGGGCACAAATGCACAAGACACTGACTGTGCAGTAGCCTGATACTATTACACAGTAGCATTATACGGCAAAAATCGTGCCAAGATGCTACTGTGCAGTAGTATTAGCCTACTGTGCAGTAGCATCGAGGCAGACAACTTGACTCTACCCACAGGCACTAGAATTGAATACTTTCAGGGCTGAATGATGGATTTGAAGCAACAAATTCAAAAAAGGACAAATGCAGATCAAGAGCCTTTTGAAATATGGGATCCAAATCCAGAGAATAGGAGCCTCTGGTTGTTCTCTGCCCTTGGAAAATTCCCTCTGCAAAGGGCAGATCTTCCTTCAGCATAGTGATCAGAATCTACTGGCACCAATATAGAAAGGGGATTGTGGTCTTAAGAAATATGGACTCGTAACTGAACAATAAAGTTTCACTTCATAGTTGGGAACAAACATAAGCACTGATTTCTTATTTTTGATGCAAAACTGTAGGCAAAAATACCGACATTGCAGATTAGGTTGTTTAAACATGCAAATGATTTAAAATTCAGGTGTATGTGATTATGGACATAAAACTATGCCTGCAAAAACGGAGATCCAGTTAAGGGTTGACTGAAAATATCACTCTAAATATAGTAGTTGGGATATAATTCCATCTTTTTTAAGGTTACCACCATGTTATTGAAGAGAGGGAAAAATCAAGTAAATACAGCCCCAAATTTAAAGAAATGAAGACAGTTTGAGGCATTTACAATTACACTGGCAGGCAATGTTGTGAATAAAAATACAGTAAAATCCTTGTTATCTGGCATTTGAGTAATCAGAACACTCTATTAACTGGAGTTTCCGGCCAGTTGGACAAATGTGGGGGGGGGGGAGAGGGGCGTGGAAGCTCGCACATGGTGCCACCCACCACCCTGCACTGTAGCTGCTCTGTGTGAGGCCACCCCCCTCTCTGGCCCCCGTGCAGCTTCTCTCTTTCCCCCTGCTTCACATCCGGCCAAAAACCACCAGCTTCAGGTAACTGGAATTTTTTAGATACCTGGCACCCCCCATTCCCCACTCAAGCAGGATAACAAGGTACAATTTATCTTAACCCAAAATGAATCCTAATATCAATAGATGGTTCTCACTAGCTTAAGAAAAGGTGATTGGGACATGGCATTCATAACAGGCTCTTCAGCAAAAGATATGTAAGAATGTGGGAGACAAGAACTTTTGTAGCTAATATCAAATTGGAGCAAATTCATGGTTGGGATAGACTTAGGCTTTACGGTAATCACAGTACTCCTACTCGGGTATTATGGTGAGACCTGAGGATGTACTGCCATACCCAAAAGCTTGTCCATGTCTATCCCAACCATGAAGTTGCTCCACTAAAAGGTATCTTCCACAAAACCTCTTGCTTCTAGCATATTTTCTGGACCATTGCAGCTGCAACATCACTTCAACATCTATGATTACAGCACTTAAACTCAAAAAAACATTATAAATGATATAATGAATTTTACAATGTATTATACAAATTGGAGTATTTAAGTTTATAAGAAAAAAAAAAACCTATTGCCCTAATTAACTTAGTCTGTGATATTGGACATTCTAAAGTTGATTATATTTTCAACTAAAAGATAAAGTAAGTTCCCTAATACAAGTTAGTGTCATATGCAGTTTGATGATAAATGTGCACATCAACAATGTATGTATTTTATTATACACACTGCATGCAACTATTTTTTACTTTAGCAATATATTGATATACAAAAAATATACAGAATTTTTAATTTTCCCCTCTTTCTCAGAAAATGTAAAACAGTTCATGTTAAGCAAAAAGGAAAGCTTTCATAGAGAAGTAAGGCTGGAAGAGACCTCAGGGGATCATCTAGTCCAGCCAGGGATTAAACCTATGACCTTGGTGTTATTAGCACCACACTCAGCAACTGAGCTAAATCACCCCTCACTGTTTTCAATTTTCTAACCCATTGTGAATAGCAATGCACATATTAAAAAGATCCTCTTAGAGCACTATTTTCCCCAGAAAAACATTTCATCTCATAATGTGGATAATAATTGATTTTCCTTACTCATTTAACAAAACACATTATTTCCATACAAAATTTAAAACGAATGAATATTGGATAAAAAGTTGAAGCCATAGCTTTAACTTCTTACTGAACATATTGCAATATACAAGAGTAATATAAGAAGGTTTCCTTCAAAGGGAAACAGAGCAGAATATTCATCCATCACAAAAGGTCAGAACAAGTAGCATTTGGAGAAAGAATCATAATATAGATCCTAGGTTGTAACATTTTCCATAATGCCAAGAACTAGTTGATCTGACAGAGGAACAAATTATTTAAAAGAACCTCAGATATTTGATTTCTTGATGTTTTAAAGTACCGCCCCCTCCAAAAAAAAAAAAATCAACAAAAGAAGTCAAACTGAATAAATCATAGTGCTGAATGCTCAAACAAGATGACCTGTGCCTGATTCTCAGGCGCTGTTCGTTTGAGAAGTCTAATTTGGTCTAATTCTGAATTCCTCACTGGATTATGAGACAGGGGCTGAACTGGGTTAGTCACATTGTATCTGCCAGCCTGATAACAACTGTAGTACTCTATTCCCTTTTCCTCTGAGTTTCCTGGTAGCTTCAGTTTCTGTTTTAATCGAATGATTTTATAGATTAGAAAAAGGATCACAATGCAAGCCAAAATAAAAAAGGCTAGTAAAATGTCAAATGCCCGATTCAGCTTCTCCACTTGCTGTGTGCAGAGGAGAGATGTTTTTAGTGATACAGATGCAGCACTTGATGGAAACACACTATTATTCTCTTCCATGGTTAAATTAACAGGTATGATCTGTGCTGTCATTTGCACTGGCAAAACTGATAACATCGTAGTTGCCTGTGATGGATTCCCAGTGGCATATTCTTCATAAAAAAACTGACTACCAGATGTGGCTTGGGCTCTTCCCCATAAAGTAACATGTTTAGCAGCAGAATTTCCCAAATGTTTGTGTGTATTGTATCTAGTCACCTTATGCAGTGCCATCACTAAAGTGGTGGTACTATGATGCATACCTGCAGGTTTCAGATTCCAGACTGCTTCTGGATTGGCGTTTGTACTGGCACAGTTTGTAAATTCAGTCCATTTAACATAATACAAAGGCCTACCACGCATACTTGGTGGATTTTGACAATGTATTTTTACAGAGATTGAAGATGATGCTAACCAATTGCGTAGCCTAAACAATTTGCAGCTACAGTTCCAAGGATTGTAACTTGCATACAGATGAATTAATGAAACCAAGGGTTTGAGTACCTGAGGTTGCAGGTCTGCAATTTTATTAAATGCTAGGTTTAATATCTTCAAAGAGGAACCAACTTTTTCAAATGTATTATCGCCAATACTAACTATTTTATTTCTGTCTAGATGCAGGTACAGTAAATTATGCAACAAGGTAAAAGTACTGGCATTTATATTTTCTAAATCATTGTGACTTAAAATTAACTGTTTGAGGTTATTTAACCCAGCAAATCCATTAATGAGAATGCTTTTTATTTTTGAACTCTTCAAACATAGATATTCAAGCTGGTCAAGTCCTTCAAATGCAAAAGAGTGTATTTTTCCAATAGGGTTGTAAGACAAGGAAAGTCTCTCAAGATTTTTGAGAATTCCAATGGCGCTTGAGGGCACCCGTGTTAAATTGTTACCCTCCAGGTTTAAATATGCAAGGGTTCCAACGAGATGAAATGCTGAATCCGATATCCATGCAATCTTATTGTAGGCTAGATTAAGTGTTTGAAGACTAATCATTCCCAAGAATGTGCCACTTCCAAGGATAGTGAGACGATTTCTTTTAAGTGTTAAGTACTGAAGTGAAGTGAGATCGCTAAACACTCCTCTAGGAACAAAAGCTATTTGGTTATTCTGAAGATCCAAAAAAATAAGTTTTGAAAGCCCTTGAAATATTCCAGGATCCAAACGTTTAATGTGATTATCATCTAGATGTAAATAGGACAGTTTATTAAGTTCAACAAAAGCTTTTGGGTACACATGTAAAATGTTGGAATTATCCAAATACAGCACAACAAGTTTCCGAAGTTCTGTTAATTCATTTGGAATTACATGAGAGAGATTATTTCCACTCAGATATACAAGAACTGTGCTTTTTGGAAAGTTCTTTGGAATACTTGAAAGACCTAAGTTACGGCAGTGAACATGTCCCCCTGTGCAGAGCTGGCAGACAGCTGGGCAACTAAATACCTCCTGGAGCACCAACAAAAGAAAACAATTAAGGATATGCAGGAAAACTCCTATGCAGGATAGAGAATTTTGAAGTCCACACATATCCCTGTCTTTGGCTTTTCCATTCATTTCTGACTTGGCTATTAGGGATAAAAAAAGATCAAATTTGTAAATATTGTTCATCTGAAGTTCAAATATTATATTTATATTATTTAAAAAACACATGCAAGCTAATGTTTTAACATTGTAAAACAACATGCTTTATAAGGTAATGAAAAGTACTTCCCAATAATCTATGTTACAACTTCTCCCTTTCAGCACTCCCCATCTTAGCATCACAAGAATTAAAATACTTATTGGGTAATCATGCTGTATTTCAAGTGCATTAGGAATCAGACTAAATTAACAGGTTAATGAATATGCTGCCAATCTAGCTGAAAAATATTTGATCAATTACAATTTAAAAGCAACTAACACTGTCATAACAATGGCTTTCAGTAAAGTCAACATATAAATTCTTTGAACTATTCTTTCTATATTTGACAAATGCCTCGTTAAAGCTAAAGGTATTCATGAATAAATACTAATTCACGTTTACATGCAGGAACACAAGTTTCCTTTCATCACTAGCTCTTCATTTCCTCCTTGAATATTACTTTTAAAGATGAGCTTAATTAAGTTAAAAATGTATAAAAAACAATGACTTACCCCAAACCTGTAGTTCATTTTTATCATTTAGCCTGTTGTTAATGCCATTCACTGGAAAAGTTAACTTAGCAGACCTGTCTGTAAGGCTTTTCTTACATTCTGGTTTATTAAAGCTCTCACATTTTCCCCTTGGTTTTGAAACTGCTCACTCAGGAAACACTGCTTCCTAGAGGCTCCTCCACAACAAGTGAGAGAGTGGTTAAAGTGGGGTTACCATGGATACAGGAAATAGTAAGACAGGAAGTCATTTTTATCTGTGCTTCTGAAGTATTGTTGGAAAGGAAATCTCAGCTATTTAATTCTAGAAAACCCCAAGTTAAATTAAGTTGTCTTAGTATAAAGTTGTTAAAAGTCCATACAAGTTTACTTTTCTTTTAACAAAAAAATGGTGGTAGTCACTTAGAATTTAGGCATATTTAAATATAACAAAATAGTAAAATGTGTGATTGCATTAAATATAAATACATTTGTTCACAGGCGAAAAAATTAATGTACAGAGAAAAGTTGCTTCTAATGCAAACAATGTATGTACTTTTGTCAAGGAGGAGAATATTCCTTAGTTCATACAGCCTATAACACTCAGTCAAGCCTAGTCATTCACGATGGAATAACTGCATGCACGGATAGACTAGCTAGGCTGCAACACTGCAGAAAAGCACCTGGAGTTACAGAAGCTGGATATCAGCCAACAGTGTGTTTTTGTCACAAAAAAAGAACCAACAAAAAACCAGGAGCATACTGGGATGTATTAACAGAAATGTTACTTGCAAACCAAGGTAAGTGCTGCTCCATTTGGCATCAGTGAGGCCTTACCTGGAGTTTGTATGTCCAGTTTTGGGCACCGTACTTGACTAAAGATGTGTACAGATTAGAAGGAATGCAAGAGAGAGTGAAAAAAAAATAATTCAAGCCCTGGAAAACATGACTATGATGGAAGGCGGAAAGAACTGAGATTATTTAGTGTGAGGAACAGAAGCCTGAGGGGGAATTTGATAAAAGTCTTCAAATACTTGAAGGGGCTTTATAAAGAGGATGGAGACAGACTATGTTCTCTGGCTGTAGGGAACAGGTCTGGGAGAAATGGCTTCAAAACACAGCAGAGGAAATTTAGGTTGGAGATTAGGAAGAACTTCGTCGCCATAAAGGTGGTTAAGGATTGGAACAGGCTACTTAGAGAGCGAGTGGAATCCCCATTCCTTGAAATTCTCAAGAGCAGGCTAGGCAGACATTTGGCTTGAGGCTTTGGTTGAGGATGATTCTGCATTAAGGGGGCTAGGACTAGAAGACTACCTGAGGTCCCTTCTAGCCCAACTTTCCTATGATCTTAAGTATACGTGTAAGCCCATGGATGAGAGAAAGGAAGCACTATCTTGAAAAAGGTGTATGTGGCTCCTAACTAAGCAGTCAAGCGTGCTGTCTTGGTATGAACATGGCTAAGCTCATTCCATCAGCTGCTGTGAAACGACATGCACAGAGCAGTCTATCAAATAAAGAGTGGGCTGAATACAAATGGCATGGACTGGAAGGAGAAAGGGAAGGAGAAGGATGGTGGGGATGAGAAGGCAACACCGGGAGTGGCAAATAAGAAATAAATCCATTGGGACAAGAGAGAGAAAAAAAAAGCTAATTCAGGTAATGGGATAAGAATCAGTTATGCCTGTTTAGACCATACCTAATGTAATCCAGTCTGTGGAAGATCGTTCCATAGTTATGTTCAAGGTGGTTTTTAACATTTTGTTGTTTAAGAACAGCTACTCTAGGTTGGTGACAGAAGATCCAGGAACGTCAAAGTGTTCTGGAACGGATATCAGACTGATGTTCATTCATTATTTTACATAGGGTTTGCCCCATCTGCCCCATGTAGACAGCAGAGTGGCACTGTAAGCACATGATGGTGTATATGACTTTGACAGAGCTGCAGGTGAACGAACCTTGGATGTTATCATCTGTGTAATTTGCTCCAATGATGATATGTACTGTATATGAGAAGGCACAGATTGCAGGTGGGTCTGCATCAGTTTATATTTGCAGTTTTCCTTTGTAGATTGATTTTTTAATCTGAATAATGAATGACACAAACCAGCCTGCCAGCGAGACCCCAATAACCCTGAATTTACCCTCATTGTGCTGCCACTTGACCCAAGGAACAGACTGAGATTGCCCTGGCATAATCCCTTAACCCAGCAAGCCTCAGCTCCACTGCCCTTATACTGGGACCCTGTAGCTGCAGTGAGGAATTCTCTGCCAGTCCCAGGTAGCCACTCCATTTTGGTCATGAACAATTATATGTCCCCCTTTCCTTAGAAAGGGAAATCTGGAAGGTATTTTCCCAGATATCACTCTTTCCACGGGCAATCAGTAAGGAAACAAGCAAGCAAGCAAACATGACATAGGAAGAAATAATTACACCAACAAACCTGACTACAGGTTTGCAGAAACAAGAGTACAGATTCTTACCCTCTCACTTGGCTGTAGCTCAGCCTTCCTAGAGATCTTCCAGAATTTTTAAGAAATCAGCCCTTCTGTTGAATCCCAATTATCAGCCATGGCAACTGGGGCTGCTGAACCCACAAAGCTTGAGATTCAGACCTTGATTCTATCCCAGCTAGACCCTAAAATTCTCCAAGGCCAGCCTCTCCATTTGCATTATTCTAGTGCTGGTAAGTCACCAGGATCCTCCAGAAGTTTCTGGCCTCATAGGCCATTACTCTTTTGCTACAGAGGAATTGATTTGTCTATTACAGACAGACAATGCCTTGGGTCCCAGTGCCTTCTGTCTGTGTATGGGGTGTAATTGTCTTCAAGTATTCATGCCTCAGCACCCTGGCTGAACCAGTTCCAACACTATAAAGATATACATAACATAATATAATCTATACAGTGAGAACAGTAACCTAAGTGGATACAGCATAACATTGGCTTTCCAATGAGACCACATATGCCATACCAGTGCGATAAAACACAGGAAAAACAGTCACAACATGCTGTGAACCCCTAAAACATAACAGGGTTTGTGAAAGGGGTGTTGGTTGTGAAACAGTTTTTCAGCTTCTTTGTTTCCGAAGTGCTGTTCTGTTTTTTGTTGGGTTTTTTTTTGTTTTTGTTTGTTTGTTTGTTTGTTTTACAGATCCAGACCCCAGTACACAGAACTGTTCAAAACCCGAGATAAAGACTTGGTATCAACAATCAGCCCATTTGGTTAAGCTTCTGGCTGGCTGTAGCAGGTCCTCATTAACTGGTATGAGACTAGATCAGGGGTTTTCAACCAGGAGTACCTGAGGGTACTTGGGAAGGCCTCAGGGGGTACTCAGCAGCGGATGCCGCCACCATGCTGCTGGCACGCTTGCTGATCAGCCACTGGGGGACGCCACCCCCTGCTTGTCGACTGGACACCGGGGGACTCTTTCCTTCTCAACCAGCTGCTGGGGGTACACTGACCCAAAAAGGTTGAAGACCCCTGGACTATATGCATGTAGGATGTAGGAGTCTCTGGGAGTTTCTTTTGAACAGAAATTCATGAAGCCTCAAACTGCATGCCTGATATGGAAGGTGTCATAACTTCACTGAGTGAAGAAAACAAAACATAGGCTAATCATCACGGTTGCTTGCAGATGTGAAAAATATATTTAAAAAAAAAAAAAAAATGCTTTGCCAGAAGAAGCAGCACGTTACTTCAATCTGGCTCCACAGTGTCTGTATAAACCGGGAGCTTCAGTGGGGCTTTTCGGTGCTTTTATCTAAAGCTCTCTGACACTTTTAAAGAGCTGGTCAATTTCCTTCCAATAGTGGCAGTAGAGTCCTTGGACTGTCATTGAGGCCCACAACCCCCAGGTACCACAAGCAGGGGTGCAGCCAATACTCCCCCTCCTCCACACACACACACACACGCGCGCACACACATGGCTTCCTCTCATCCTAAATACGCCTGGGATGCATGGAGCTCTGGTCAGTTGCCACAGGTGGAAGGACACTGATCAGCTCTTTAAAGGCTATGCGGAGGGAGCTCCCAGCCAGAGGCACTGCAGTCAGGTAAAGGCAATTGAGGTTGAGGCAGCAAAGTTCTGGCTGTGTAGCAAAGCAGCCAGCTGCTATGCAAGGATTGGGGATGGATGAGAAGCAGTGCATTGTAGGATGCCTGGATAACAGACCAGACCCTAGCCACAGAAGGCTCAGTGTCTGCACAAGACCATAGTAAACTAGTTCATGGAGAACCAGTTATACTTTGAAACAGTTCACAGGAGGTTTAAACCATTCTAAACTGGCTTGTACATCTGGATACTTATGGTTTAAACTGCATTTAAACCAGTCTGAGTGATATGTCTTTCTGCACCCATAAAATTAGGAATGCTATTGCATTTTAGCATGTTAAAAACTAACATCAGAAGGCTTATACAGTACACTGGAAAATCCATATATATTACTTAATAATCTTTGTATATTTGAACACTATTTCAAGAGACAATTTTATCAGGTAAAATCATTAATCTACAGAAGCAAGAAACAAATACACAATCGTTGCATCAATTTGAATCTTTCCAAGTCATTTGTCTCTTTTCTGCAGTTACCAACCTATATTAGGTTAAATTTAGTATAATTCAGACTACATTCAAAATAGCCAATTTATGCGCAATCAGAAAGTATGCACTATGTTCAAAACAAGAACTTAATTGATCCATCTCTATCATATTTAAAGAACAACAATATTAAGTAGCATCAATGTTCATTTTTAAAGAGGCAGCGTGAACCTATATTACAAAATTACACTAAATTGCACTCTATAGATGGAAAACAATTATTAATACATTTGTTCTTATGAATTTAAGAGCTGTAGTGATCTTTTTCCCTTTGTAAATGTAAAAATGCTAAAATGAAAACAACACCGTTAATTCCCTTAACTTGGTGAGACTATACTAAATTATTTTTCATAAGAGGTAAGAAAAAGTAAAAACTAAAAGAAAAGATACAGTGGTAGTTTTAGCTGAAATATGCTATCAGGATTTCAGTATAAAATTCAGGGATAAAATTTCATGGCCTGTACTACATCCCTTCTTCCTGATTTCCTTGCTGTTCAAGCTGTCAATCACAAGTGCCCTGCAAATTCTCTTGGCTTTTGAGACTTATGTTCATTGGGGGCTCTCCTACCATTTGAATGACTTTTACAGTGCCTTTTACAGCATATCACTCCTCTCCTACTATGTATCAAGTACCTAAGGGGGGTAGGGGCTTCTTCTTGTTGCTGTTGGGTTTTTTTGGAGAGGGTGTAGGGAGGGGGAGGTTGCTTTGGCTTTTATTTAAATGTTCACTGCTGCTGCTTCTTGTTTCCCTCTGTGTAGTTTCATCAACTTACATGGACTCAGCTATCATCCATCTACTAATACAGAAATCTATGTTTGATTCCCTACCCTACTTGTTTTATCCAGTTCCACAGGTTATGGACATCCTGCCATCAACTTAAACTCATCAGGCACAAAACCACTCCTCACTTCCTCTTGCTCATAATATCTAGACTGTCTATCAACAGTAAAACTGCTTTCTTCATATCATTTCTACAATTTCAACTTTTCCTTCAGTCCACACAATCAAAAAAAACACATGTAGGTATTCATCTCAATGACTACCACCTTTTCTCTGCTTCTACGGATTCATACAAAACAAAGCTACACCCATAACGCACAAGAGCAGAAGGGAGAAGTTAACAAAAATTAACATCCTCACCTAAAATAATCCCAAAAGAATACCCTCAACTTACAGCAAGGAAGTCAAAATACCCAGATCACAAAATGTGTAGATGCAGGAGACGAGGTAGATGTCATCTACCTAGACTTTAAGAAGGCCTTCGATATGGTATCTCATTCTGTTCTCGTAAATAAACTGACATGCAGTGACGTAGATGATTACATGGTCAGGTAGGTGGCAAATTGGCTTAGGGCTTGCACCCAGAGACTGGTGCGAGATGGGTCGATATCGACTTGGAAAGATGTGGGTAGTGAAGTCCCACAAGGCTCGGTCCTTGGACTGGTGCTATTCAGTGTCTTCATCAGTGACTTGGACAAGGGTCCGGAGAGCACCCTGTCCAAGTTCATAGATGATACCAAATTACGGGACAAAGTTAACACACCAGCAGTTAGGGAACAGATCCAGGCAGATCTGGACAGGTTGGAAAAATGGGCAGAACAAAATAGGATACAGTTCAACAAGGACAAGTGCAAAGTGCTGCACCTGAGCAAAAAGAACCATCAACATACTTACAGGCTGGGGGATGACCTTCTCAGCAGCACAGAAGTGGAAAGGGATCTTGGAGTCATAGCTGACTCCAAGATGAACATGAGTCATCAATGTGACAAAGTGATCGACAAGGCTAACCGTACTTTATCATGCATTAGCAGATACATGACGAACAGGTCTACGAAGGTGATGCAGCACTGGTCAGGCCGCAGTTAGAGTACTGCGTCCAGTTTTGGGCACTGCACTTCAAGAGGGATGCAGAGAATCTTGAGAGGGTTACTCGTGTGGTCAGAGGCCTGCAGGCAAGGCCCTATGAGAAGAGACTGAGGGACCTAGATCTCTTCAGCCTGCTCAAGAGAAGGCTGAGAGGTGATCTTGTGGCTGACTATAAATTCATCAGAGGAGGGCAGCAGGGAATAGGAGATGCTCTATTTATTAGGGTACCCCCTGGAGTAACAATGGCCACAAATTGACAGAGAGCAGATTTAGGTTGGACATTAGAAAGAACTTCTTCACAGTAATGGTTGCCAGAATCTGGAATGGGCTTCCAAGGGAGGTGGTGCTCTCCCCTACCCTGGGGGTCCTCAGGAGGAGACTGGAAAAGCACCTAGCTGGGGTTGTTTGACCCCAGCACTCTTTCCTGCGCAGGGCAGGGAGTCAGACTCGATGACTTACTGAGGTCCCTTCCAACCCTAACATCTATGAATCTAGTAAGTAAAGGGAAGAGGTAAAGAACAGATTTCATTATTTAAGCCATTGTAGCTCTTTACCTTGTGCTGCTGACCGAGGTGTTTTTGTATAGGACCCTAATGTATACATTTAATGGAAAGCCATATATACAATATAAGTGTATAATCCATGACAGATACACAACAAGTAAACTCTTTTCTGGACTTGTGGTATATACTCTGAAGTTCTCACACCAGGTAGCACTAGAAATAGATTGACTCAAATACATATGCAACTGTTGTATGATACATAATAACGCTAAGTTCATTACAACCGTGGCTAGCCCTTTAACTGTGTACTAATTTGCCAGCTGGATGTCTGGAATCCTCCAAATTTATATACAATTTAAAGGAATCATATCTATTTCTTTCCCAGGTGACTTACTTGGATTCTCAAAAATTCCTCCCAAATCTAAATGATGTAAGGCATGGTTGCTCAACCTCCAACCTGCAGGCCAAATGTGGCCGGCAGAGTCTTGGAATCAGGCCTGCAGGGCTGCCCACAATTCAGGAAACTTGGTAGCAGGGGAGCAGTGGCAGTTAACACTGCCACCCCTCCCCAACTTCTAAAATCCCAAGTCCAGTACAGCAGGTCAGAGCCAGGCCACAACCCTCTCTTAGCATGGCCAGATCAGGATCAACCAAGCCAGAGTCCTTTTTGCTGTGCAGCTGAATCAAGGGAGGGTTCCTATTTCTCTCCATGGGGCAAGGCTACAAACTCTCCCCCTGCATGGCAGATTCAGGGCTAGGTCACGTCATGCCATGCCCCCTTATATCCCTGTGTGGCTGGGTCATGCCCCCTTCCCTCCACCCAGCCAGGCTGGGGCCAGGCCACACCCCATTCCTCCCACAGGGTCAGGCCATGCCCCTTACCCTGACATGGCTGGATTGGGGCTGGGCCGCACCCCCCAGCCCTCCTCTGCAAGTCTAGATAAAGCCCTGCTATGCATGGTTTGGGTGCCAGACGGGGTCCACCAACCAGATCCGACCTGTGGAGGGACTTGGCACTACTCACTTGGTCCCACAAGTAGAAAAACTGAGCACAGCTGATCTAAGGCATCATGTACAGCATTAGGATTCAGGGGACCTGGTTTTATTTTTGGCTCTTTCCTTAAATCTGTTGTATGCTCTTAAGCCAACATGTCACCTCTCTGCCTGATTTTCTCCTTAATCTTTATGCATATATTTACATTTAGATTATGTGTATCTTTATATTGAAATTACTATTTAGATGTTACTTCTTAGGATATCACTTAAAGAACTCAGCACAATGTAGTCATGATTTTGGCTGAGTTCCTAGATGCTACTATGATATAAAATAAGCAGAAGTAGCATTTCCAGGAACATTTTCAAAGCAACTGTCAGCTGGTATACCAGTGCCTCAGAAAAGATATTTCTTCTTGTGCACAAAAATAAATATTTTAATACTGCAATGGAAAATTTAGATTCATCTCTATATGCAATAATAATGATTTTGGATTCATACCACCTCTGTGCATGGATAAGAATATCAATGCATAATTATTTTATTGCTAGTAAGCAACAATTCCAAGGGGAAAATAAAAAATCAGAATCAGATTGATTTTAAAAAAAATCTTAATCTCTCACTGATATATAAAACACATTTATATCAAGTTAAATTTTCACAAACAATCTAATCAAGTTAAAAAAATAGAAATGTTGCCTATTTATATTTTTACAATGCACCATAAAATGCACTAAAACATTCTGATGCCATCCTAATGGCTTATAAAAGGTAGCAAATCCAAGTGTAAACGGAAACCCAGAAGGTAAAATACTATTTCAGTACATGCAAGAAATAGTCAAAGGCATGCTAATGCTGCTTCTGTGGTATTAATGAAAAATGAACAAGCTTTGTTTATAAGCCTTGTTGAACCTAATCTCAATTCAAATAAACCCACTGAAAGCAACCAGCAGAATGTGAGATTTGATCATCAGCATCATTAACTAACAAGGGTCTTTGAGGCCTACAAAGGGTGGAGGACGGGATTCATCTCCAAGGAAGAATATTCTGCACTGGTCCGGACCTGCAGGGAGCAAACCAGGAAAGCCAAGGCAGCAACTGAACTCCAACTCGCTTTGAGTCTCAAGGACAATAAAAAGTCCTTTTTCAAATATGTGGGGAACCGGAGGAAAAGCAAGGGCAACACTGGACCCCTGCTAAACCAGACGGGACATCTGACAACTGATGCCCAGGAAAAAGCCAACCTATTAAATGGGTACTTTGCGTTGGTCTTTCATCAGTCCCATGGGACACCCATGCCCACTACGGGACAGGGAGGTCCGGTAAGGGTGATCCCCTGCCCTCCATCAATGCTGACCTCCAACCTTGAGAGGCTGGATACCTGCAAGTCAGCTGGCCCTGACAATCTACACCCCCGGGGTACTCAAGGAACTGGCGAGCGTCATAGCCCAGCTCCTGGCATGCATCTTTGAGAACTCCTGGTGCTCTGGTGTAGTGCCCAAAGACTGGAAGAAGGCCAATGTCATGCCTATCTTCAAGAAAGTGGATCCGGCAAACTACAGGCCCATTAGCCTGACCTCTATCTCGGGGAAGGTCTTAGAAAAGATTATCAAACAGGCCATCCTTAACAGACTGGCCAACGCCAACAACCTGAGGGACAGCCAGCACGGGTTTGTTGTGGGTAGGTCTTGCTTGACCAATCTTATTTCCTTTTACAACCAGGTGACCTATCACCGGGAGAAGAGATTGATGTCTTATATCTTGACTTCAAAAAAGGCTTTGATCTGGTATCCCATGATCACCTCTTGGTGAAACTGACCAATTGTGGCCTTGGGTCCACCACAATCCATTGACTGGGAAATTGGTTCTGTGGTCAGACCCAGAGGGTGGTAATTGATAGCAGTCAATCTTCATGGTGCCCTGTGACCAGTGTGGTCCCCCAAGGCTCTGTCCTTGGACACAGTTTGTTCAACAACTTCATTAATGATGTGGACATTGGAGTCAGAAGTGGACTGGCCACGTTCGCCAATGACACCAAACTCTGGGACAAAGCATCCACACCTGAAGACAGGAGGGCGATCCAGGCTGACCTGGACAGGCTCACCAAATGGGCGGATGAAAACCTGATAGTGTTTAACACTGAAAAATGCAAGGTTCTCCACCTTGGGAGGAAAAACCTGCAGCATCCTTATAGGCTCGGCAGTGCTATGCTGGCTAGCAGTATGGAAGGAAGGGACTTGGGGGTCATCATTGACCACAAGATGAACATGAGCCTGCAATGTGATGCTGTGGCTAGTAAAGCGAGCAAAATGCTGGCTTGCATTCATAGATGCTTCTCAAGCAAATCCCAGGACGTCAGTCTCCCCTTGTACTTGGCCTTGGTGAGGCCGCAGCTGGAGTACTGTGTCCAGTTTCAAGCTCCACAATTCAAAAAGGATGTGGAGAAGCTTGAGAGAGTCCAGAGTAGAGCTACATGCATGATCAGAGGTCAGGAAAACAAACCTTACAATGACAAGCTGAGAGCTATGGGGCTCTTTAGTCTGGAAGAGCGCAGGCTCAGGGGTGCTCTGATGGCCACCTATAAGTTTATCAGAGGTGACTACCAGTATCTGGGGGAACATTTGCTCACCAGACCTCCCCAAGGGATGACGAGGTTGAACGGTCATAAACTACTGTAAGACCATTTCAGGCTGGACATAAGGAAGAATTTCTTTACTGTCCGAGCCCCCAAGGTCTGGAATAGCCTGCCATCGGAGGTGGTTCAAGCACCTATATTGAACACCTTCAAGAGAAATGTGGATGTTTATCTTGCTGGGATCCTACGACCCCAGCTGACCTCCTGCCCCTCGGGGAGAGGGCTGGACTCAATGATCTTCCGAGGTCCCTTCCAGCCCTAACATCTATGAAATCTATGAGTAACTTGG